AAAAAATAAAAATAAGATGCTTTGCTTATTGGACGTAACATACAATCCGTCCTTCCCAATCCAAATCTTTAAGCTCTTAGCGGGCATCGATCTTTCTCCTTCATGAATCAAAACCCAATCACCCAAACCCTAATCTCCAAATTCCCCCAATGAACCAAATTCCCTCTCCTCCTCCTTCCTCCGCCTCCGACGGCGACGCCGGAATGGACGGCGCCTGGTATGGCAACATCCAGTACCTTCTCAATATCTCCACAATCGGTCTCTTTTGTTGCGTCTTCATCTTCGTCTTCCTCAAGCTCCGTAGTGACCACCGCCGCATGCCTGGCCCTGCTGCTCTCTTCTCCAAACTGCTAGCCGTCTGGCATGCCACTGGCCGCGAGATCGCCGTCCACTGTGGGGCTGATGCTGCGCAGTTTCTCTTGATTGAAGGCGGTAGCTTCGTTATGCTTCTGTCCGTTGCTTTTCTATCGGTTTTCGTTTTGCTTCCGGTGAATCTGTATGGAGGGACTGCTGTGTTGGATGATCAGTTCTCCAAAACCACCGTAAGTCATATTAGTAAAGGTTCGGCTTTGCTTTGGGTGCATTTTGTCTTTGTTGCGGTGGTTGTTGTTATTGCACATTTTGGAATGTCTGCTATGGAACAGAGATTAAAGGTTACTAGGTTTAGGGATGGGAATGGGAATTTGAGTAACCCTACTGCCAATTCTACTGCAATTTTCACGATTATGGTGCAGGGTTTGCCCAAGACTTTAGGAGTTGATAGGAGTGTTTTGCAAGACTATTTCCAAAAAAAATATCCAGGGAAGGTTTATAAGGTTATTTTGCCAATGGATTTGTGTGCATTGGAAGATTTAGTCTCTGAATTGGTTCACGTTAGGGATGAAATTACTTGGTTGGTTGCTAAAATTGACTCTCGCCTTCTCCCTGAAGAGGTTGAAGGTGGGGGAGAAGGAACTAAGGGGTTTTTAGGTTGGGCACACAATCTATGGAGAAAGATGAGACACTTTTGGGATCAAATTGTGATTATGTTTGGATTTACAGATGAAGAGAAGTTGAGGAAGCTGCAAGAATTGAGAGCTCAGTTAGAGACTGAACTGGCTGCATATAAAGATGGCCATGCACCAGGGGCTGGGGTTGCTTTTGTAATATTTAAGGATGTGTACACGACCAATAAGGCCGTTCAAGACTTTCAGAATGAAAGAGGGAGACCGTTTGGAAAGTTCTTTTCTGTCATGGAATTACGTTTGCAGAGAAATCAGTGGAAAGTTGAACGAGCCCCATTGGCAACTGACATTTACTGGAACAATTTGGGATCGACAAAGTTATCTCTGAAACTGCGTAGAGTGTTTGTGAATACGTGTTTGCTGTTGATGCTTCTATTTTTTACCTCACCTCTTGCAGTCATAAGTGCTCTGAAGAGTGCTGGGCGGATTATTAATGCTGAAGCAATGGATAATGCTCAGTCATGGTTTACTTGGGTGCAAAGTTCCAGTTGGCTTGGATCTTTAATTTTTCAGTTTTTGCCCAATCTTATTATATTTGTGAGCATGTATATTGTGATCCCTTCAGTTCTTTCTTATCTTTCCAAGTTTGAGCGGCATCTCACTGTGTCTGGGGAACAAAGAGCAGCACTTTTGAAGATGGTTTGCTTCTTCCTTGTAAATTTGATCCTGTTGAGGGGTTTGGTTGAGTCATCTCTGGAGAGTGCAATCCTAAGTATGGGTCGGTGCTATTTGGATGGAGAAGATTGCAAGAGGATTGAGCAATACATGAGTGGTTCATTCTTGTCTAGATCCTGCCTTTCTTCTCTTGCATTTCTTATCACAAGTACTTTCCTAGGAATATCTTATGATCTGCTGGCTCCAGTCCCTTGGATAAAAGAGAAGATCCAGAAGTTTCGGAAAAATGACATGCTCCAGTTGGTTCCAGAGCAAAGTGAGGGTGAGTACCCATTAGAACACCAGGATAGCAGCAGTCTCCGGAGACCTCTGATGAATGAAATTATGTTTGACTCTCCCAGGCAGAGTGAAATTGACATTCCGGGACAGGACCTTCCTGTATATCCAGTCAGCAGAACCTCACACATACCCAAGCAGACATTTGATTTTGCACAGTATTATGCATTTAATTTGACAATATTTGCTCTGACACTGATATATTCTTCATTTGCTCCACTTGTGGTCCCTGTGGGAGCAGTTTATTTCGGCTATAGATATGTGGTTGATAAGTACAACTTTCTCTTTGTCTATCGAGTCAGGGGATTTCCTGCTGGGAATGATGGTAGGCTGATGGATACTGTGTTGTTTATCATGCGCTTCTGCATTGATTTGTTCCTCCTATCCATGCTACTGTTCTTTTGGGTCAAAGGAGACTCAACGAAGCTGCAGGCCATATTTACACTTGGTGGTGGTGTTTTGTACAAGTTATTGCCTTCTGATAGTGATAGTTTTCAACCAGCACTTTTGGGAGGTGTACAAAATATTGACAGCATTGTACATGGGCCTACTGATTATGAGGTTTTCTCACAACCCAAATTTGATTGGGATACATATCTCTAATTAGGCTTTTACACTTTTCATTGATTAAAGGTTCATAATTTGTACAATACACCTCTCTGAACTTTCTAAAGAAAAATCTTACTTTTGTGTATTTGCACTAGATTGCTTTTCCTTTTCATTTTGCTCATGTATTTTTTCTTTTCGGTACATATTACATGAATCTGAGTTGGTGCTAAGTTCTTGACTAACCTTTGCATATCTTTGCCTTGTTCAATTCAATTTTGTTTTTTATTCTGTTCATGGGTTATTTTAATGATTCCTTAAATAGCTGTGTCAAGCTGCTTCCAAAATGAATCTGAGGGTGTTTTAGGCTATTCAACCTTGATACCTTATATCACCAGTCCAAGTCTTAACCCTGGCTTTCTCTCTGCAAATGGGAGAAAGGTGCAAAATGTCTGGAAGGCTCGTGGTTGAAGCATGGAATTGTAAATGTTAAAATTTTGCTCTAAAGATTTTAAAGTCTTGAAAGGGTTGCATTGGAGTTTCAATCTTCTTGTTGCAAGTACCCTTCTATGGCACTGGGCCACTGGCCGGGAAAATAAAAAATGGTACCCTGTTCTAGCAGATTTGTTGTATTACTATTCTATTATGTTTGTCAGTCATCACATTGAACAGGCTTGTCAAATTATTTCTGCATATGTTTTTTGAAAATGAAAATGTTATAATTATGTTTTTCAATTTCCTACCATATGTATGCAATGGCAAGAGTCTTACTAAAGGAAGTTGAAACGTTGATCTGAAGTTAACTAACTCTTTGTTTTTTTGGACCATGCAGAAAGTAAAATCTCAGTCTATAAGATAGCTCGTTGCATGGGGTGAATTCATTCTCGTTCAAAATGTCAAATGAACATCAGGTCTGACTGTTAGTCTGAAAATAATTCTTTCCTTTTTCATTCTTTATATCTGTGCTCTGGGTGCACGTTTATTTGTTGTGGAAATACATCTAGTTCATGGTCTATGTGCAGTTCCATCTTCCATGGTGGTCTTTGAATCTAATCATGAACAAAACCTCTGATTAATTGCAAGGGACATGTTCTTTAGGTTCTCTGTGTGCTGTTGGGTTTCATCTTTTATTATGTATCCTTCATATATACCGGCATCATGGTTCAGAAATGTGTGATAAGTCATTCTCCGCCATTTTCATGTTTTCTGTGTTCTACAACTGTTACGAAGTTGCAGAAACAGGGAAAGTCGTAATGCTAGAAAGAATTAGGCGAAAGAGTAGTTCACTCTGCGCTCAGCAAGGCTCTGTTCGCTTTAGAAGAAAGTCTGTATACCTTTAAAATAGTGTAATTTAGCATGGAATAAAAACACATCCCGCGTTTTCAAATGACTTCTCTATCTTAATTGCTAGGCATAATTGTGCCTGACAATTTATTGCTGTGGATCGGTGGAAGTGTGTACCAATCAGGTACAAGCTCTCAGGCATGAACCGGATATGCTCTTATGGAAGCATTTATTCATAAACATTAAGAGTGCGTAATTGCGACCAAGATGTCCAGATCATTTAATCATGATTCATGCCGCAAATATGAGGAAGGGTTCATGCAATTTTGCATCATATGATTTGTCATCACGATTCAGGAACTCCATTGACTGCAAGAAAATGGCATCACTACGTGAACATGAGACACGAGAAGAATAGTCCAATAAGAGAAAGCAGGAAACATTCTTGGATGAAATGAATTGTAGGCAAAAAGAGAGAATACAAGAAAACCAGGGGAAGATTAAAAAAAAAAAAAAAAAAAAAAAACAAACAAACAAACCAATCCAACTAGTCATGATTCTCAAAGCCTCCCCTATATCCACTCTTAGCCAAGCAATTGCTCCCTCTTCTCCTTCACTCTCACAACCCTAAATCCCATGTGCCTTTACTCACTTGTGGCTACCTTTTAATTAAGCAAGGAAGGGGTGAATAAATAGGAAGAGAAACTTGGATTGCAAGTCACAAGTTCAACTAATTTTGTTCTTTGAATAGTTTCACTTTGAAAGAGGAAATAAAATGCATCATTTTCCAGAAAAAAGCAGTCTTGTTGATTCAGGCAAAGAAACTAGAAGTAATCAGCAGCCCCTTTGCCCTAAACCTCGCCGCCTTGGCCCCGTGGTGCCGGAGTTTCTGAAGCCTCTGAGATGCACCAAGCACAGGTTTGGCTAAGTTACTCTCATCCTACTTGCCAATTTTTAATTGTTCTGTTCATGTTGTGAAACTTAAATTGTTTTCTGTGTTCATTAGCCCAATGGACATTGAAGATGGGAGAAGTATAGTTTTGAACATGATTGCTGGAAAGGTAAGAAATTCATACCACATGACCACAAATTGAATCTCTATGTTTCTCCAAAATTCTAATCACTTCCATAATTCATTTAAATTCCTGCGACAGTCAGTTGATAAAACGGAATTTCCATGCACGGGGTGCTCACCTGTGTATTACGCCGGCTCACCGCCGGGCAGAACAGGGAATCCTTTGGTTCACAACGTGCAATTCCATCATCAAATGGAGCTTTATTCTCCTTTCACAAGAACCAAACTTTCAGATAAATTCGGCCTCACCTCTACCTCTCCCGCATGAAGATGGTCTCCCAAAATGGGATTTTTCCGGTGACATTTTTTGTATCATCATCCTCCATTGGTATATCTTCTCCGATTGAATCATGTGTCTGCCCCCGTATATACATAGGACCCAGATGTATCTTTGTGCATGGTGTTCTTGTAATTTCTTGTCAGAAACCGTGAAATTTTGTTTCTTTCTGAGATTTTCAATGAAATTCAAAGTTTCCCAATTTCAATTATTGTGGAAAGTACAAATCCCAAGAAAATGTTGAATTAGTTAATTTCTAGTACTGTAATTGGAACAAAAGGAACGGCCTTTTCAACGTCTTCAACTGTCATACAATATAAAGAGACGAGTAGGTCCCACCCCACATGCAGCTTTACAGCTTCACTCTTCCTGCAGCAAACAAGAACAGAGGCACAAGATCTTGAATTCCTTCAAAATCATCTCCTCCTCTTCGAACCCACATTCAGTCTTGGCTAAAGGTTTCAACTTTCTAATGCAGATCTTTCTGGAGTTTCCTAAAGGGGGGAGATAGAAATGGGGTTTTGCCTGAAAGCGATCGCGTTCTTGTTTCCCATCTGGGTTTTGAGTTTCGAGCTCAGCCATGGCCGCATCTTCACCTTCAAGATGCACCCCCGGTTCGCGGAACCCGTCATGAACTGGTCCAACTCCACCGGGAGGCTCCCCCATTTGCCCGCAAAAGGCACTTTTGAGTACTACGCTGTGTTGGTCCACCGCGATCGTCTGTTTCACGGCCGCAAACTCGCCGACTTCAGGGGACCTTTCGCTTTCTCCGATGGAAACTCCACTTATCGAATTAATTCTTTGGGATTGTATGTGTCTCTTATTCTTCACTTTTCCGGCGCTATTATCTTGATTTAGGGTTTTCACAATTTAAATTTGCGCCCTTCTTTGGGGGTTTATGCAGCCTGCATTATACAACGGTGCAATTGGGGACCCCAGGAGTGAAGTTCATGGTGGCTCTTGATACGGGAAGCGATCTGTTTTGGGTGCCCTGTGACTGTAACAAATGTGCTCCGACTGAGGGAGCCGCTTATGCCTCTGTATGCTCTGTCTTTCCCTTAAATTGCCAATTTTAGTTTCCCAGACCTCCTCTTGATAGAATGTAATTCAGTTTGCTAAAAACCCAGAAATGTGTTAAATTGATTATTTAGGTGAACAAAAGTAGTATGAATCTTTAGTGTTTTGGCAGTTTTCTCGAGGGAGTTAGTATTAGGCTGGACTGTTGCTGTTCGTTTTCTCTGTTTCTGTAAAAATCACTTTGGAGTCTACCTTTTCCTCCGTGCAATTTGGAAGTGGGATGGGAGGCCCACAGAGGCATGGGATCATAACTCATTCAATAAATGCTAGTGATAGTAGAAACTGTCTCGTTGTGTTGATATCTGTCCTTCAAAATGCATGTGTTTATCTTGGAGTGTTTTATCTTTTGCATTACTTTCTAGTTTCTTCGCATCTGTATTTGGGGTTCACCTATGTGTCTGGTTGTCCTTGTATTTATCTTAAACTATGCACAATTTGTCATGACAGGATTTTGCGCTCAGTGTATACAATCCAAAAGGATCATCAACTAACAAAAAGGTCACTTGCAACAGCAATTTGTGTGCACACCGCAATCGCTGTCTTGGAACATTCAGCAATTGTCCTTATGAGGTCTCTTATGTCTCTGCACAAACTTCTACTTCTGGGATTTTAATGGAGGATGTTTTACACTTAACAACAGAAGATAGTCATCAAGAATCAGTAAAGGCATACGTCACATTTGGGTAGGCTCTTTTACTTAGAGCTTTTCTGATTTGATCAGCTCTTGTGCGGCATTGTTTTAATTGGGTTGAACTCGGTTGAACAATATTTTGTTTTCACAATCCTGTCTATGTTTAGATGGAAATGAAAATATGAATTTTGCAGGTGTGGACAAGTTCAAAGTGGTTCGTTTCTGGATGTTGCAGCTCCCAATGGCCTATTTGGGCTTGGTATGGAGAAGATATCTGTTCCTAGCATTTTGTCCCAGGAGGGCTTAACAGCAGATTCTTTCTCCATGTGTTTTGGACGGGATGGGGTTGGACGAATCAGTTTTGGAGACAAGGGCAGTGCTGACCAGAATGAGACCCCATTTAATCTGAATCCATCACAGTAAGTGGTAATTTCTCATTTTCTTAATGCTTATCATCTGTGAATTTAGAAAGAGATAATTGTCTTTGATGACTGGCATGTTGTAATTATTTTGCTTCTTGTTCTGAAATGTGTTGCAGTCCAAGCTACAACATCAGTGCAACTCAAATTCGTGTTGGAACTGCTTTGATTGATGTTGATTTCACGGCTCTTTTTGATTCTGGAACTTCTTTTACATACTTGGTTGACCCAATCTATTCAAGGCTGTCAGAGGATGTTAGTACTTGATATGATGAAAACCAGTTAAATTTGTTCCATATGTTAGAGTTGGTATTCTAACATTTCATTTCATGCTCTTTGGCAGTTCCATTCAATGGTACAAGATAAGCGATGTCCACCTGATTCAAGGATACCATTTGAGTACTGTTACAATATGAGGTCAGACAGATATTCACTTGGTCGCAGTTTCTTTGTTTAGGCCTTAGGGGTTTCCTCTTTTTTTTTTCTTTTTTTTTTCTTTTTTCTTTTCTTTGTTTAGTTGAACTATGTCTATATCATTTTTCTTTATGATGCAGCCCTGATGCAAATGCTAGTTTGATACCTAGCTTGAGTTTAACAATGAAAGGTGGAGGCCACTTCACCATTTATGATCCAATAATTGTTATCTCCACTCAGGTAGTTTCTTCCTCCTGGAATTGCTCTTGTTTGCATTATATGTAAGCATTAAATGCTTTTATCACCGTTGCCTTGCAGAATGAACTTGTATACTGCCTGGCTATCCTCAAGAGCACAGAATTCAATATAATTGGACGTAAGTCTTGCATATTGCATGTAAAAAGATTTAAGATTTTTTTTTTTGGGGGCCAGAAGATTTAAGATTAATTGAGCGCGCATTTTTCATCCTTAATTTTTTTTATTGTAATGAAATTGCAATAGCATTTTGGTGCATATGAATTGGGGACTGTTATTGCTTTTTATCATATCATCAAGAAATCAAGATAGATGAATTGAGAACTTAACATTGTTTAATTTAATGATGGGATCATAACAGCTCTTTCTCTGTAATGACATTTCTTTTGTCTTTGATTCCATGTCTATGGAACATGTTTGTTTAAGGTGCTTGCTATCTTTGTACAGAGAACTTCATGACAGGTTACCAGGTTGTGTTTGATCGAGAGAAGTTTGTCTTGGGCTGGAAGAAGTTTGATTGTAAGCACTGCTTTGTCTTTCCATGCATAGTTTTCCTTACATACTTGTGTGATGCTTATTAACTTACGAAACAACTGTGGCCATTATTCAGGTTATGACATTGAGGAAACCAGCAATTTCCCAGTAAAACCACATGCTTCCTCTGTGGCTCCTGCCTATGCTGCTGGTGTCGGTAATTATACTTCTCCAGAAAAGACCAGGAACAATTCTCGGACTTCAACTGCATCGCGATCATACCATCTCCATGCTTCACTTCTAACTTGCTTCAGATTTTTCTTCATGTTGTCTATTATTGTATCCATTTTCTAGTTTACTTTCGCAAGCCAGTTGCAGGTCAGGGCACTAGTACTTTTAGGTCTTACCATCCTTTACATGATAACCTTTGCCAGTCCATAGTCGGCACTTTTCTTTAGGACTCTATGGATAGAACCTGGTATGGTCATTGTGCTTACCGGAAATATTGAGCCTAGCCTTCATCTCTATATGCACCATACATCAGAGTCTCATTTCCTATTGTCTATATTTTAAATCTTTACAATTCATCATTAGAAGACGATAGGTATCTGTATATTATTCTTGTAATTGAAACTCTTACAGTCACAGAGAAGAGCTAGTGCTTTTCAAGTATAACAATATCTTAACACTTGCACCGTGTGTTTCTCCCCCTCAACTCGTGTCTTTTATCTGCCCGTAAATTGAGACTGAAATCAATCTTTTCCACTGTATATGTTGTAAAGACAAAGAAACTGGTTTGTTCAA